TCCCCAGGTCTTGCCACACTGCTGGCCAACCAGGTCTTCACCCGGGTTCACAGAAGTCTATTGAACGTTGTAGGACTTAGCTCACCACTTCATTGCTGTTTTGAGAACATCATTTCTTAGTGTGGCCTATCAACATGAAATACTTTTTGGTGGCTTTTATTATTAAATTTAGATTTAGTTCATTATAAACTTCCTTTTTATTATTATTATTATTGGCCTTGAACACCAAACATTCCTTGAGTTGGTTGAGTGATAGTGTGGAGATATTTTTGGTTTTATTTTATCTCTTCTTTTTATTGTACGAATTAAGATATGTAACAGAACTTTGCCTTAGCTTTTTAAGGAACTGAGTTTGGGAAAATGTGTGTTTATATAAACATGCTTTGGTCAACTTCATTGTTGTTGTGAAGTGATAACGAGTCAATTCCAACTCATAGCACCCCTGTAGAGGGTTTCCAAGGTGAGTTTGAACCACTGACCTTGCCAACCTTGGGATCCAGTGTTTATCCTATATTGCCACACAAAAATAATCAGAGAACATTCTGAGAGAAAAGGCTGAACCAGGTTGGTTGGGATACATTCAATTAGAAAAAGCGAAATCACTGCATTAATGGGACGTATTTGGGTGTTAGCATAGTGGTTACAATTTGGGCTGCGAACCGCAAGGTCAGCAGTTCAAAACTACCAGCTGGTCAGGAGGAGAAAGATGAGGCTTTCTGCTCCCTTAAAGATTTACAGCCTCGGAAACCCTGTTCAGGGTCACTATGGGTCGGAACCGACTCAACGGCACTTTACAACAACAACAATTTGGGTGTTTGAGGAACCCTGGTGACACAGTAGGTTAAGCTTTTATTGCTAATTGTAAAGTTTGAGGTTCAAACCCACTAGCTTCTCCAAAGGAGAAAGACAATGCTATGTGCCCCCTTAAAGATTTACAGTCTTGGAACCCCTAAGGAGCCAGTGTTATTCTAGTCTATTGGGCTGTTATGAGGTGGAATCCTCTCAGTGGCAGTGAGTTTCTTTTGTGTTTGGCATTTAGGGATTTACTATGCTGGTACTAAATATAATGCTTTTTCCCCCCAAGTGTTTCTGAAAATACAGTTTTGAGAGTAAGACTAATTTTTGACTCACATTGTTTTATGGCTCTCCTTTTCCCAGAAGTTCCCAAAATTTGCCGGTTGGAAGTCAGTGAGAGAGAGTGCACAGAGACCAAAGAACAGTATTTCTTCAACCTAAGTTCCATGAAATGCGAAAAAGTCACATCTGGCTTCTGTCTCAACAATGAGAACCGATTCCTAGATGAAGCTACTTGCATGGGATTCTGTGCACGAACGAGAAGTAAGTATTATTTTTATGGTACTTGCACCAAATTTCATTGGTAAAGCTTTTGGGTGAAAGATCATTAATTTGATGAAGAATTAACATAGTTTGAGTTGTAGTGACTTCCCATGTATCAATCTTCACACTGTTGCCCTATGTGAAGTATTAGTACCCCTGTTTGTACATGTGAAGCTAGCTGGGAGAAGTTACCGACTTCCAAAGTCGTTAAGGCGGGGGAGAGTGACAAAGCCATGATTCCGATATTTGTCGCCTTTCTACTATTGTTTTTTACAAGTGTTTCTCATCTACTCAATTTCCACATTAAAAAAATATAATAATGTTCATTGATGAATGCCATCACCTCAGGTTCATATGAAAGAAGTTGCAAATGTGAGATTGCTGTTGTTAAGTGCCATCCAAGTCAAGTTGGTTCCCACCCATAACGACCCTGTATAGGGTTTCTGAGGAGCAGCTGGTGAACTTGAGATGCCGACTTTGCGGTTCAAACGATTTTGCAGTCCAGCACATTAACCTGTAGTACCACACCAGGACCCATAGTAGAGTATTTATATGCTTGAGATGGTGAAACTGGAATCATTTATTTCCTAACTTTCAGTTAATTTTGGGAAAATGTGTGTTTATGTGAACATGCTTTGGTTTGGATTTCTAAACCGTCAGTTTGATTTTTGTTGTTTGTTGTTGCTAACTGCTATCAATTCAATCCCAATTCCTAGTAACCCTGTATAGGATTTCCCAGGAGCAACTGGTGGCTGTGAACTACTGACCTTTTGGCTAGCAGCCCAGGGCTTTCCCTACAGTGCCATACTAAGATATCTGAGCCCTTTGCTTTTATAGTTAAGTTCTATTGGGTCGATTCCGACTCATAGTGACCTTGTATAAGGTTTCCAAGGAGTGGCTGGGGAATTTGATCCTCTGACCTTGCAATTCAAACCATCCTTGTGATCCAGTGCTTATCCTACAGTGCCACATCTGTATCCTTTGTTGTTGTTATGTGCCGTGGAGTCGATTCCAACCCATAGTGACCCTGTACAGAGTTTCCGAGGCTGTAAATCTTTACGGGAGCAGACCACCTCATCTTTTTCCCGTGGAACTGCTGGTAGTTTCGAACTGCTGACCTTGCGGCTCGCAGTCCGATTCGTAACCACTACGCTACCAGAATTGCAGCACAAACAGATCTATATCCTTTTTCATTTTCACTCCATTCCCTATCTACCATTTCTCCCTTTATAGTCTTTGAAACAGTGGGTCACTTGGGCAGTATTTAATATTTTTGTAGAGAAACAATTCTTGGGCATTTCCCCCCATAAATAGCAGAGACATGTAGATAAAACTCTCTGTGGCAGAGACTTTGATAAATACCACTAACTATACTGTGTTGAATATTTTAAATCTTTAATTAATGGTAAATAATGGTTGCTGCTGGTGTTCTCGTAAATTGATTGTGTAGCTGTAAATGTTCCATTGACTACTTGGGACAGCATGATGGTTACAGAACTCAACTACTAACTGAAAGGTTGATAGTTCAAACCCATCAGCTGCTTTGTGGGAAAAAGATGTGATAATTTCTTTTTGTAAAGATTTACGACCTTGGCAACTCTATGGGGCCGTTCTACTCTGTCCTTTAGGGTCATTATGTGTTGGAATGGACAAGGGAATGGACCCAGTAAACAAGGTAATACAGGCTTATTTGTGCTTATTTATTAATCTATAGAAGGAGCTCTGGTAGCGTAGTGGTTAACGAATCGGGCTGCGAACCTTAAGGTCAGCGGTTCGAAACTACCAGCTGCTCCGCGGGAGAAAGATGAGGCTTTCTACTCCCTTAAAGATTTACACCCTCGGAAACCCTATACAGGGTCGCTATGGGTCGGAACCGACTCGATGGCACATAACAACAACAACATTAATCTATAGTGAGCAGTTTCACAGGTTTTTCACCAAACAAGTAAGCCTCTGCCTATCTTGCTTACTGGGTACTCTGTCCCTGTCAGGGATTATAAATTTGAGAAGATGCTTTGAGTCTATAGGAAGGTGCTGTGGGGTTGGGAGAGAAACAGAAGCCAGCCATACCAGACACAGAATCTTTGTGGTAAAAAAATGAGAAATTGTTCACTTCAGATTGGTAAGTAAGCACAAGTAAGCCCATGTTAATTTACTTATTGGGTAATCTGACAGTGGCAATGAGTTAAAGGGGTTTAGAGGTGAAAGATGAGGCAGTCAGCCTCCCTAAATATTATAGTCTTGAAAACCATATTAAAAACTATAACAAAAACAACTGCCAACGAGTCAATTCCAACTCACAGGAAGCCTATATAGGGTTTCCAAAATTGTTCATCTTAATGGAAGCAGGTAACCTCATCTTCCCCCTGCAGAACCAGTGGTGAGTTTAAACTGATGACCTTGTAGTGAGTAGTCCCCTATTTATCCTACAGCACCACTTCTACTGTGCCCTCTGGTGTCATTATGTGTCTGAATCAACATGATAGCAATGAGTCTGTGGGTAGTGAAAACAATTAAAAGCTTGAAAACTCTTGGTGTGGCTCTGTAGGATCAACACTGGACTGCGAACCACAGGGTTGACAATTCAAATCCATCAGCTGCTCCTCAGAAAGCCTTATACAGGGTCACTTTGTCGGAACTGACTTGACAGCACTTAACAAAACCCCCACTAACCTTGAGGGCAGCTGTGGAAAGGTCATAGCTTTAATGACCCAGTGGAGCACTTCTACTCTTCACACATGGGGTTGCCATGAGTTGGAACTGTTTTGTGTGTTTTTTTCCCTTTTTTGAGTAATAAGGGGAGGAGTGCTGATTAAAATGTTTTAAATAATAGTACCAACACAGAAAATTTACCAAAAAAACTTAGCCCATTTTTACTTAACCTATTTGGTATGTTGGTTGAATTTCTTTTCAGATTCAAAATGATGCAAAAACATAACATCAGAAAATAACCCCTCCAGTTTATGAAAATTTACATTTACAAAAATACAGCATCTAAACTTCTCCGCAGTTTGAAGCACACTTTAACCAATGACTTAGTTTAATATTTAGAATGTGGCATTTATGGATTGTTGTTGTTGTTGTTGTTAAGTGCCATCGAGTCGGGTCCGACCCATAGCGACCCTGTACAGGGTTTCCGAGGGTGTAAATCTTTACGGGAGTAGAAAGCCTCCTCTTTCTTCCGCGGAGCGGCTGGTAGTTTCGAACCGCTGACCTTAAGGTTCGCAGCCCGATTCGTAACCACTACGCTACCAGAGAAGTATTTCCTAATTCTATAATGGTCCCACATTACTGATTCTAATGTTACGGGATTTCTAATTTTATTTTTTCTGTTTCATAAAGGTCCATCATTTTGCTATACTCCAAAAGATGAGGGATTGTGCTCTGCCAATGTGACTCGCTATTATTTTAATGTAAGACACAGAGCCTGTGAACCATTCACCTATACTGGCTGCGGAGGAAATCACAATAACTTTGTTACCATACAGGGTTGTAAAAACGTTTGCACACTAGGTAATGAATTATTTCTTATTTAACTTTTAAATAGCTTTATAAATCATAAATAAAATTGTGTTTTGTATATTCAGTTCATTAGGATGCTTCCTCCTATTTCTAGACTCTTGTTATTGTTAAGTGCTGTCGAGTCAGTTCTGACTCATAATGACCTTATATAGTTTCCAAGGAGTTGCTGGTGGGTTTGAAACACCAACCTTTTGCTTAGCAGTTCAGTGTTTATATAAATAACACATTAGTACTGATTAATTTTGTCAAAATGCTTATACTAGGTAGCTACATGTATAGCTACATATGTATGGAGTCTTGATGAGATGCTTCAGGTTAAGTACTGAACTGCTAACTGCAAGGTTAATGGTTCAGACCCACTAGCCACTCCTTGGAAGTCCTATACAGGGTTGCTATGAGTTGGAACAGACTTGATGCACACAACAACTATTGTTAGTGTCGTCAAGTCAGTTCCAATTCATAGCAACCCTATATAGGGTTTCTGAGAGTGGTGGTGGTGGTGGTTATGTGCCATGGAGTTGGTTCCTACTCATAGTGACCCTGTACAGGGTTTCCGAGGCTGTAAATCTTTACGGGAACAGAAAGCCTCATCTTTCTCCTGCAGAACAGCTGGTAGTTTCAAACTGCTGACCTTGTGGTTCGCAACCCGATTTGTAATCACTACGCTACCAGAGTGACTTTTTGGTTAGCAGTTCAGTGCTTATCCTACATTACCACACCTCCAGCACCACATGAGTATGACTGGTTGCATATAATGAAGCCCTGATGGTGCAGTGCATTAAGCATTAGTCTGTAGACCAAAATGTTGGTTGTTTAAACCCACCATCAGTGCGAGTAATACAAGGCAGTCTGCTTTTGTAAAGATTTACAGCCTCACAAACTCTAGGCAACAGTTCTGTGTCCTGTATGGGCACTGTGAGTCATAATAGACTTGAGGGCTATGGGTGGGTGCTCCAAATACAAGGGGACTTACGAGAGTTTGTGGGGAAATTCCAGTATCTTTTAGTTCCATTTTGTCCACACATTTTTGAAGTCCCCTCGTGTAGCTACAAATATATAAGCCATATCCTTGTATTTTATTAGCTTGTATTATTAGCTGAGTGTATAATAAGTCTATCTGACTTTATAATAACTAAAAATGAGATGCGATGAGGTTGTAAGCATATTGAAAATGATGATTTATACTGGTCCTACTTACTGATATGGTATTTATTGTTATTTTGTTGACTTTAGCCTTGAAGAAGGAAAATAATAAGAAGATGCGAAAGTCTTTCATTACCAATAGAAGACTGAAAATGCGGAAAAGACAATTTTAACCATTTTCCCATATGTAATTTTGTGAATGTTTATTACTTTTATGGCGATCTCTGAAAGAATCATCTGACAGTATAATAAAATAAACCAGATGTTATTTTAATTTTAAATAAACTCAACACTTTTTACTAATGCAAGTCACATTTTTGTGTGTTTTTATACGTGACTAACTGCTATTTCAAATGTAAATCTATCATTTTTAGTTTATGGTTCAATTGTTTTATAATTTTTATGAAAGTGAGTTCTTTAAAGCTTAAAGTAGAAAAGCAAATATGTTGACTCACCCTATTCCTGGGGCTGATATTTCTAATTTCAGAAGATAATAACAACTGAAATAACATCAGTCTTGAACTTTTAATATGTATGGGCATTTAAAAGTTGAACTGAAGGAGACACAGTTGTAGACTTAGCAATACTTTGGACAGTATTCTAAGTGCTACTATGTATTCTCTACTGACTGTGCTCTCATTTCTATTGGGTCAGATAGTGGTGTGAAGACTAAAGGAAGTTATTTAAAAGATAAAATAGCTTTCTTAACTGAAGTAAGAAGCTAAATTTCATAAAATCAGGAACGTTCTCTAGAAAAAAAGATCTCTGTGTGTCTCCATCTGAATCTATTATCTATATATCTGTCTATTTATCTCATTTCTATCTCTATATACTCACTCAGTTACAAGTTTGTGTATACGTATAGAGTTTAAAACTTTTTTCTTGTTGTTTCCTAAAACATGATGGATTAGAGAACAACTCAAGTTGTTAATTTTTTTATACTATTTGAGATGTTTATTTACATTGCACCACAACAAAATGTATGTTTAATCACTTAAATTTCACCAATAAATTTTTCTTCATAAATTTTTTCATTCCAGTGAAATAGTTTGTTTTTCTTTCACTGTTCTATACATATATATTGTAATTCTTACAATTCCTTGGCAAAATTAACATGTTTAAAAGTCCCTCTATCAAGACATTTTCACTTGGCTCCAACTATCCCTCTTATAAGAATTCATCCCAAAGATATTGTTGCAGAAATTATATATGCCTGAGGACATTCATTAGTGCACTGTTGAAATAGCTGAAGACTGGAAACAAACTAGATGCTTATTTACAGGGGACTGGTTGAAAAAATTATGAGAGAAGAGGAGACTATATATGAATATCATGTAATTCCAAGGATACCAGAGTCCTGGTGTGGTGCTGTAGAATAAGCATTCAAACGTAAGGTTGGTTTGAACCTCAAGGTTGACAGTTCAAACTCACCAGCCACCTCTTGGAAATCCTATTCAGGATCACTATAAGTTGGAACCAACTCGACAGCACTTAACAACAAGAGTTCTGGGATATACTTTTTAAAAGGGCAAGATCTTAAACAATATGAATAAACATACATAAATATACATATATGTATGTATATACAGACATCATAGAGTCCTGGTGTAGTGCTGTGGGTTAATGCACTGGACTGCAAAGTCATTTTGAGCCACAAAGTCAGTGGTTCATGCTCACCAGCCACTCCTCAGAAACCCTACACAGGGTCACTATGGGTAAGAACTGACTTGACTGCACTTAATAACAACAACAGACAATACAGGAAATAGAATGATATTCAAAGGAAAGGAATAGAGTGGAAATTTCTGTGAAGGTACCTTGTGTTGAGTTTTGATCATATGGATGTTTTACATAATTAAAAATCTAAAATTATAAAAGAATAAAGCCTTCCATTGAAAACAAGGCAAAGCAATTATACTTAAATGAATATCATGTAGTGGTATAATGACACAGAATGTAATTATTTCCAGGCATTTCAAAATCTTCTGAAGGATGTAATACAATAGCCAAAAATTTCTAAAGAAATCTGAAAATATATTTGATTGACTTTTTGGTACTAATAATATTGTTATAGTTACTTTGAGTCTGCCATACACGTGGTTGTTGTTAGGTTCTGTTGAGTCAATTCTGACTCATAGTGACGCCAGAAGAGCACAGTGAAACCCTGCCAGGTCCTGTGCTGTCCTCACAGTTGTTGTATTTGAGCCCATTCTTGTAGTCACTGTGTCAGTCCATCTCCTTTAAGATCTTCCTCCTCTCACGGCCGCTCTACTTTCCTCAGAAACACTATACAGGGTCTCTATAAGTCAGAACCAACTCGATGGCACTTAATGACAACAAACAACAACTAATTTACCAAATGTGATTTCTTTTTCCAGTAATGGTCCTTCATGATAACATGTCCAATGTACCAAGATGATGTCTTATTATTCTTCTAAGGAGCATTCTGCATGCACTTCTAAGACAGATTGATTTGTTCTTTGGGCAGTCCAAGGTACTTTCAATATTCCCCACCAACACTAACATTCAAATTCATTGATTCTTCTCCAGTGTTTCTTATTCACATGTTTCTGATACAACTGAAAATACCATGGCTTTGGTCAGGCACAGCTTAGTCCTCAAAGTGACATCTTAGCTCTTTAAAATTGTTTCTATTTACCTATTTATCCACTTATCTACCTACTATCCATTTCTTCTCTAACAGAATCCTGGTGTGGCGCTATGGGTTAATGCGTCAGACTGCAAAGCTGTTTGAACTGCAAGGTTGGTGGTTCATGCTCACCAGCTGCTCCTTGGAAGCCTTTACAGGGTCGCTATGGGTCGGACTCTATTCAACGGCACTTTACAACAAAAACAACAATCCATCTCTCTATACTCACATGTACATGTTTTTGTATACATATAGAAAATTGTTTTCCTAACTTTAAAGAGGTCTTGTGCAGCTGCTTCCATGAGCATTGAATGACTTGCTAGCAAGTAATAACATGAAGAGCATTGTACAGGAAAAGGTTTGGGTCAGGCTCACCTTAGTCCTTAAACTGACATCTTGGCTCATTGACACTTTAAAGAGGTCTTTTACAACAGATTTACCTAATATGTCATTTGACTTCTTGATGACAGCTGATTATTCATCCAAGCAAAATGAAGTCTTTGGCAACTTCAATCATTTTTTCCTTTTATCATGATGTTATTTACTGGGCCAGTTGTGATGATTATTCTTTTAAAACAAAGAACAAAGAGGAGTCCTGGTGTGTTCTTGCCAAAAAAAAAAAAAAAAAAAAAAAGGAGAACAAGATAAAACTTGAATCTGAAATTAATCAAGCTTCCAAATCTCAATAATACATTGCCAAATTGAAAGGAAGTATTGGAATAAAAGAGCAAGTTAGAAAAAAAACTACAGAAAGTAACCATCAAATCCATAATATTTGAAACTCTACAGGACAAATACCCTGTTTTCCCACAATCAATGGCAGTGAAATTATAGACTCTAAGAAAGATATCTTTAAATTATGCCATTTGCAAGGTTTTTGGCTGAATAGACCTGCATTTATGACCATTTTCCGTAACTTTTTTTTTGCGGGGGGAGAACATTTACAGCAGAAGAATCTTTGTAATGATTGTTTCTGGAAGTATCTATGCTCCAGGAAAACTTGATCAATCCCCCTGAAACCAAAGTGATTAGGGAATAATGGATTCACTTCATTGTAGGTTTGCACTTCTCTGTTCATGGACAGAAAAGAGATCCTTCTGATACAACTTATCTACTGCCTCAAGACTGCTGTTCTATCTGAATGAAGAAATAAAGCTAGATGCTGCAAATGGTGAAGAGGAAAGATTGACCTTTCGTAGAGGGGCCTCCGAAAATAGGCCTGGGAATATGTTTCTGAAAAGTCACAGACTTAAAACCATATGTGGCAGGTCTACTTTGCACGCATGAGGTTTCCATGAATCAAAATGGACTTGCTGGCAACTGCTAATATGAAGAGCATGTTGCAGGAAAAGGGAAATTCCGTTTTACCACACTCAGCTTGAAGATAAAAATCCCTATTATGTTTTTACCGAACACCCTGATTCAAACGAATGTCTCATTCTGCAACACACACTCACATATACAAAAAATGAAATTGAATAGCTTTTAATTAGTGTTTTTGAAAAAAAAAAATTACTCAGGACTATATCACTCACCTCTCTTCCATACACACACGTTGCACATTGTTCCAATATTCAACCATAGAAGCTGAAATTGAGCTCTAAAAATTGTCTAAGTTACAGTTGTTGTTGTTGTTGTTAAGTGCCGTCGAGTCGGTTCCGACCCATAGCGACCCTGTACAGGGTTTCCGAGGGTGTAAATCTTTACGGGAGTAGAAAGCCTCATCTTTCTCCCGCGGAGCGGCTGATAGTTTCGAACCGCTGACCTTAAGGTTCGCAGCCCGATTCGTAACCACTACGCTACCAGAGCCTCATAATATCTTTGCTATCTCCACCAACGATCCTTTAGGTAAGGATCTTGTTCAGTTAAAGAATGTCTTTCAGTGAGCTTTTTCTCGTATAGTAATAGTAGTTGTAGAAATTTCACCTGTGGTGCATTCAGAGACAAATCTCTTGAGAGTGTCCAAGGAGCAGAGTGGAAAAATCAAATTAGACGGATGTCTATTGATTTTTTTTTGGAACTCTTAGACTATATGGACTCCATTGTGGTGACAGGAACTCATATTAGCTTGCAAAATCTTCATATTTCTAGCAAAATAGTAAAATATACATCTTATATTAAAAACGAGTAGGTAAGTGTGGAATTGTAGCTTTAGCACACTCTTTGTCCGTAGGTTTTGTTACAAACTTAGAGATGGAGTTAAACAAAAGTGGAAATCAGACCATGATAGGTTCAAGAAACCAAAGTCACAGTGATTTTAAACAATGGCTCAGGCCAGGCATCAGAAAGAGTAAACTGGAAAGACAGAAGATACTGGTGAGTGAGTAGAAGACTTAACAGCGATTCTATGTTGTTGTTGTTGTTAGGTGCCATCAGGTCGGTACTGACTCATAGTGACCTTATGCACAGCAAGCAGAACGAAACATTGTCCAATCCTGGGCCAACCTCTACTGTTGCCATACTTGAGTCCATCGATGCTGCCACCTGGCCAATCCATCTCACTGGGGTCTTCCTCTTTTTCTC